AGGAACCTCTTTTGATTCTACCTTAGGCTTGGATGACGAAGCCTTATCACCTTTCCTCCAAATTGATTGAATGTGAAGTGTTGGGAGAAAAATGACTTGTGTTCCATTTTCTATTCAATTGCTTCTCAACCTTCAAAGCAAGGTGAAACAAATCTTCTAGCTCCATATAAGGCTGTAATTTGACCACATTAGAAATCTCCTTATTCAAACCATTAAGAAATTTAGCCATTGTAACCTCACTATCTTCCTCGACATTTGCTTTAATCATGACCACTTCCATTTCTTTATAATACTCCTCAACTTGGAACCTTGCCTAAGATTTTTAAGTCGATTGTACAACTTTCTATAGTAATAGCTTGGTACAAATCTTCTTTTCATGATGGACTTTAAATCTCTCCATTTTTTAATAGGCCTTTCTATATTTCTTCTCTGCTTCTTATTTGTGTCATCCCACCAAGTAATAGCATAATCTTAAAAAACAGCAAAGATAAGTAGTAACTTCTTGGATTCAATATAGTTATTGCACTCAAACGCTAATTCAATCTTCTTTTCTTAATCTAAGTAAGCTTCAGGATCCATTCTTCCATGAAAGAATGGAATCTTCAATTTAACACCACTAAAGTTGTTATTATTGTTGTTTTTTGTTTTTAGTTGCACCTCCTCTTCGTCTTCATTATCACCACGTGATTCATCATCTTCAAAGCCATTACCCTCTTGAACTCTATTTGGACATCTCCTACCATGCATGGCTGGATTAGGAGCATTAGGTGGCTACCCCTTTGTAACTGAAACTTTTAGCCTCTCTATTTGATCAATAATCTCTCCATATCTTCTATCCATAGCTTGCATCAGTTTCATAAAGGCTTATAACCTATCTATCTCATTTTGTGGATTATTTGCTTGTCCACTCATCTTGAATTAAGCTGTCAAACAAAGTTAGTAAAACAAAAGAATAATTCCTCGCTTCACTCCCTCACGTGTTTCACTCAAATGATGGTATCACTAAATTTTACTCTTGTTTAAATTTTGGTTTTTCTCTAGATGAACTCACACTCAGTTTTTTACCACTCCAATTTTCTTGTTAAGATTCATTATAGGGAATCAAAACTTATACAAATGTGCTGAATTAAAAATGAGAAATAAAATAAACTAAGTTGGAAGGAAATAAAAGATAATTTGAACGAAACTCAACCAAGGTAGATGGAAATGAAAGATAAGCCTGAGTTCTTAAAAAGAAATATGACTTAAAAGAAATTTCAATATAGGAAAACAAATTGAATTTTTTTTAACTCCTTTTCGAATCCTCATTTTTTTGCCTCTTGACTTCTTTTTTTTTTACTTTTCTTTTCACATTTTTTTGTTTTTTTTTATTTTTTTATGTAACACAACAGAAATAAACTTGAATGGACTAACTTTTTGGATTAGAAACAGATCACAAGGAGGTGGAGAACAATAAATGATGAAAATAACAATAGAAAACAAGTTGAAACAAATAGAAAACAAAAGGACACTAAACTGATATGCTAGATGCTAAACAATAACAAATAGATATGGAGGATGGACATGGAAACAAAGACTTGAAACAATGAAATAAAAGTAAAGAGATGAAACACAAAGGATATAACCTAATTTAGAGGCTAAGCTCTGATACCAAATTGATACGAACCAGGGATACATTAAACCTGAGACCCAATATCTTTGCGTTTGGAAGCAACTCCTTGGAAAGTTAAATTAGATTTACCAAGTCTTGACCCAATTCAATTAGTGAAAGAGAACTTTGGAATAAGTTTGCAACCCAAATTCAATCCTTGAAGAAAGCCTTGGAATAACTACTCACAAAGTAACTAGCTTTACTTGTAGGAACCCTGATTCAAACAAGAATCAGAATAAGAGAAGAACCTTTTTTTAAGAAACCTTGCATTAAATAAATTCATATATCAACTTGTCTTTACAAAAGAGAATACTATGTATTTATACTTGAAACAACCCTCCAAGATACATTTGAAGATTCCTAAGAGTTACAACTCTTCATATTACTAAGTACATGTTTCTATTTAATAAGAAAAGAAAAAGTCTAGATACAATAAATGAAGACAACTAGATCCAATGTATCTAAGTCAGAATTCATTTTAAAATTTTTGAGCTAATTATCTATATGATAATATTCGAATTTAAACTGGATTTCTTCATGAAAATTGTAACCCCAAATGTGTAGATAAGTTTAGGCTTTTGAATCACCTAATTTGGACATCAAAAGCCTAAGTTATGACCCTTCCATGTAAATTGGTTCAACTTCATAATGAGCTGGTGTAACTTCCACTTGTGTTAATATGACCAACCTTTGTTGCATTTTTGAATTTTGTCAGTGTCATTCCATAAGTCTTGAATCATCCTGTTTAATGTGTTCTTGAATTTTTTAACCTCGTTTTATAATCGGACCATTAGATAGTTGAATTGAAATGTTCTTGTGTGCTGCCTTATTTGCATTAGCATGTAAACCAACTATCACTTCTATTGATTCTAATCACAAACTAAGGATAATAGAGGAAGATACATTAGTAAGTAAAGAAATGTATAAGAAATTAGTTGGGGGATTGATCTTCCTATCCTGCACAAGAACACACATCGCTTATACAGTAAGTGTTATTAGTCAGTTCATGTACAATCTGAAAGAAATGCACCTATAAGTACCCTACAAAGTACTACAATAATTAAAAGAGTTACCAAAGGAAATAATTATGTTTAAGAAGAATGATAAATTGTTCCTAAAAGCATATATTGATGCAGATAGAAGCTACAACATGGTACTGTACCTTAGATGTAACTTAATCATCTAAAGAAGTAAGAAACAAAAAGTAGTTAGAAGATCAAATGTGGAATGATAGTTTCGGACAACAGCACAAGGGGTATGGAAACTGCTATAGATAAAAAAAAAAAATTAGAAGATCATATATTCAAGTGAAAAAATCCTATGCGCCTATGCTGTGATAATAAATCGGCCACAAACATCACCAACAATACAGTGCAACATGACTTAACCAAGTATATTGAAATTGACATATATTTTATTAACGAAAAGTTTGACAACAACTTAATACGTATGTCATGTGTAAACCAATTCTCAACATGTGGACATGTTAACTAAAGGTATAAGTAAACCAACATTTTAAACTTTTATTAGCGAATTAGAAATGGACAACATTTATTCCTTAACTTCATAAAGAGTGTTAAAGAGGAAGAAAATAATGGTATTAAAGGAAAAGTAAATGAGAGTCTTAAAACAGAAATAAATCAAAGCGATAAAGAGGAAATAAATTAGAGTATTAGAAAAAAAATAAATGAGAATGTTAAAGAATAAACAAATCGTATTAAAAGAAAAACTATGTCTTTCGTAATTAATTATTATTTTTGTTTATCTTAAAAAATCTATATATTGTAATATTTAATAAAATACACATCAATTTAAATTATTAAAAAATTTAAACAATTATAGAAATATATTAAGTTCAAATAATGGTGGAAAAATCAATATTAAAATTTCAGCAAATGAGATTTGAGAAATTAAACTAAATTAAATTATCAATTCCAAAAGTCTAGGAAAGAAGATTTGAGAAATATATCATATTAAATTAAAATAATTATTGCAGCTTCGATGACTACTAAACTGACCAAACATCAAATCAAATTCAAATTATTATACACATTTATAAATAAAAATTAATTATATCATGCATGAAATTTATTTATATAAACTACTTTTATTATTTTGTGTTACTTATTACAACATAAAGAAAAATATAAGACGTGGATAGCGCTTTTTAAGAGACGTGTAATCATTGCAGGTCAAGCGAATTCGACGATAATCTCCAAAACATTCTTTCTCTTGGATTTTAAAAAATAATGTTTATTTTTTAAATATTTATTGTCAATTAAAAGTTTAATTCTTTTATAATATCTATAAGATTATATTATCAAATAAATATATTCTAATCCCCAAATTTATAAACAATTGGTAACACATAATTCTATAGCCAAACAACATTAGCAAAAACTTCAAAATATTTTCCTTATTATAAGAAAATATAATGAAATTAAGAAAACAACCGGCTAATTAATCAAGGAGTATAAGTATAATAGAATAATAAACAATGAGAGAGAATGAAGGGGATGGAGATTTATAGTTCTTGAACAAGAGTTGGAAGGAGAGAATCAGGTTGACCAAAGAGTCAACTAACAAGCTGCACAAGCCTAAAATTATGGATCTTGAAAACCTGTAAATATCCAAAACAATATATATATATATTAACTTTAGTATCTTCAATAAACCTTTGTACTTAATTAACGGTTTAGAATTTAATTTCAATATAACATAAATATTATTTTAATAATTACTATTAAAAATAAACAGCTTCTAGTTGTTTACAATCTTGAGTAATTAATATAATTAAAACAAATAAAATAATTAAACATCAAATAACTGATCGAACTTAATAATGAAGGTCACAAATTACATACACATATCTGAATAGCAAATTCAAAGCCTACTTAACAGCAAAAATAACACATTTATAAGCAGGGAATAATGAAATTTTTTTTTAAAAAAAGCTAAATTAAAGTCCAAACTTTCACGTATCTGGGCGGTTAATTTGAAATGAAGCCAACCCTTGAGAGCAATTTTCTGAAACTTTTTTATACAATCTTGGACTGATCATCTTCATTGATTCCACAGTAGAATTCAGAAAACTGTGAGCCCATCAGCACTTGGGAGGAATTGCTTGGCCTTGGTAACATCATATTGCAGTGTCCGAAAGGCGGCACCGGCTGCATCAATGGCTCATACAGGCACATCCTCGGCCTCACCATTTGATTGCTGAACATAACATCCTTCATCACCTTACTACTTGACAAACTATAAAATGAATTATTTATCTTATCATTATTATTATTGTTATTGTTGTTGTTGTTAGTATTGCAGCTGAATTGAGTAAATTGATCACTACCATTCATCACCATCATCATCATAATCATCTGATTATAATGATCAAGAGAGTTTACATGATGATCGACTTGTTGAACTGCTATCTGATTATAAAGAGTTGTCTGATCAGCGGGGGAAAACTGAGGCATTATTTGCATGGCTCCATATGGCTTCAAATAGGTGCTAACAGCTTCAGGTTTCATCTCCTTCTGGAGAGAGGAATCTTTTCTAAAATTATTTATAGGATTTATGCATGGAATAATGCTGGACTCATCTATCAAACGCTTATCTTCCTTGATCATCATAACCTTCATCTTCACAACTTCAAGAACAGCATCAAACTTAATCAGAAGTGCTTTGATTTGATCAAGAGAAAGATTGTTGAGAGAATTATTCCAAGTGGGAAACTTGGCTGTGATGTTGGTTTTGCGCAGCTTCAAAATATCATCTTGAATCTTCTTGTTACGTCTCGAGAAGAAATCGAACAAGTCAAAGGATCTTACTGCATGAGAATCGAAAGCCTTGGCCTTGTACTTGCCAATGATTCGGAAAACTTCGGAAGGCGAGTCAGGCCAGACCTCAGCCTTACGGGTTTGGCCTTTGTGATTAGGGCCATAGAGGATCATGCACGTGTCCACGCCGCACAGAGTGGAGAATTCTAGTGCTTTCTTCTTCAATCCTTTTTTTCTTTTCTGGTAGGTTTGAGAACGAGAGTACACTTTTGTAATAAGCTCCATGTGTAATTTTCCTCTACCCATCTGTTCTTTTTTTCTGATAATATAATGAGAATGAACAAGAAGTGAAAATATGATTATATATATATAACACTTTTGTTTAAGCTTAATTTCAGTAACATACATATAAAAGGAAAGTAGAATATCCCATAAAAGGGGAAAAATTAGAGTAACTAAGAATATTTTGTTTTGAGATGATCCCACGGATGGTACTAATTGACTTTCTTTTTGGGTGAATTTGAATGTACCATTTGATTTAAATCCTTCAATCGGTATAACAATGGCAAATTATCTTGTAAATCTGGAAGTACCATTTGATAGTCATGTAAATGACTATAATGATTTGATACTTACTTTTGCCATTTGATGGTTAAAGTTCCTATGGCAAGAAGTATTTATTTCCTTGATTTTTGTTGGTTTTTACATTACATTCATCTTAATTAAGGTCTACTAAAAAAGATCTCTCCGCAATTTTGGTGTTAAGATTGCTTCAAGATTAATTAATTTTTTGGGGCCTAATTAAAAAATCTCTCCGCAATTTTGGTGTTAAGATTGTTTTAAAGTTAATCAAATTTTCGGGGTTCAATATATTATATAGGAAAATTTGGTTTTAGCATTTTAAAATTTTTTTATTTTATTTTATTTTAGTTGATTTCTCTTCCAATGGTTCCTGTCTCTCGGAAATAGATTCAAGTCCTTCAATTTTTTATCTGTGTTTACAGATTGTGGCAAACTACTTGGATAAAGCTTTGATATAGGGAAATACAAGAGATGAAGATGTTGCAAATTTTGGAAGGAAGAACGAGAAAACAAAGTTGAAGGCTCTTTATAAGATACTGGTAAGTTTCATGTTTTACTTTTCTTCTATATAAGGAGCAAATGTAGTTTTTTAGCCTATATTTATGCCCCTTCGAACTTTTGAACATGACCATATTTTTTATCTTCAAGGATAAACAAATTCAACTGTATATGGGAAAAAACCAAAAAAGTTTTTGTTCTAAAGATATTCTGGTGTCAGACCAGAGTTAATCTTTTTAACCAACTTAAACATGAGAAGAAACCACAGAGGAAAGGATCATCTTGGTATGGTTGATTCTTTTGGGATTTTTGATATTATATATGAAGTTGTTGATTGTTGCAATTCAATGTCTAACAATGGTGGTTTGTAGCGTTTGCAGGTATCAAAAAGTAAAAGATATGAGGACGTGAAGTAAGAAACTATGGGAAGATGACAGTGGTCATGATCCATCACCTAATAGTAATTAGGATACTAAAAGTTGTAATTAATTGACCCGTATTAATACCTTTACAGAATATAAATTAGGTTTTCAAAATTTGTTTTAGCTTATTTTATTAAAATAGTTTTTATGAATGTAAATAAATATTTTTTATCCTTAAAAAGTATGAATGTGAACATATGGAAAGTGTATATTCAAATATGTAATTATTATATTTCTGTTCATAAATAAATGTAAAATATAATTGGATATAATCTACTGTATTTTTTGCAGCAACTTCTAAACGGAAGTTAATGACTGTTTGCTAAAAAGAATAGAGCACATAGCAGAACATTTTGGGACGGGGTGGTGGCGAAACTAGATGCTGCCCGCGAAAGGTTAAAGTTAGTAATTGAAATGTACAAAATCATAGTGTACGATGCTCTAATTCAATTATAGTTCAAATAAAATTTAGACATAAAGCTAGAAAAACCACATCAAGTTAGATAAAGACTTAGAATCCATGTACAAAAACCAAATCAAGTTGAATAAGGATTTAGGATCCATGCAAGTTAACATCCCCATTAAATTATGTTGATAAACCTTGGGTTAGAAGGCCCGTTACTTGAGCCCATAGGTGATGAGAAAAGTGGGGTTGATGGCCCTTTCGATGGCAAGTGTGGTGTACATATGTATAGGTGTAAGTATACATGTATAAGTTAAAATGGAAAATGATAAAGTATGTAAATTGTGTTGGTACACCACATTTTTGCCAAGGTAATAAGTACCTTGTTATTAGTTTTGAACCCTCGGGAATAATAGATAGACACAAACCCTATTAGGTTTTTTCTCGAGCAGTCATCTCTCTTTCGTGTTTTCTTGATCTCTATTGTATTTTCTTGCTCTCGTTGTTTAATTTCCTTATAGGTCTTGGCAGGTTATAACTTGCTACAACATTGCTGCATTTACTTATATGGTATCAGAGCGTCAGGATGGAGAGCGAAAAATCAAACCAAACCACCACTCACCATAATCCATTGTTTTCAAGCAGGATCATTCTAGATCCTTCTAATCCAAATAATTCATATTTTATTGTTGCAAATGAAAAGTCACGCACACTATTAGTTCCTCAACTACTTGAAGCAAGTAACTACCACATGGGTCTTATATATAAAGCGTGCACTAAAAAAAAAAAGAAGAAAAACTAAGAATGGATGGAAGTCTAAAGGAACCGAAAAATCTAGTCGATCCTCTGATGGAGCACTAGTTCTGATGCAATGACATTGTAATTACCTTAACTTCAAACAAATTGTCTCTTAACATAAAGTATAACACGTTTTATGCAGATACTAAGAATAAGTTATAAATCAAGTTGGAGCAAAAACATGTGTAATAAAATGCACCAAGGGTCTATGAGGTGAAGCAAGTCATAACAAGCCTCATGCAAAATTAGGATCCTACAAGTGTGTATTTTTCAGAACCTACAACTTTATTTAATGAATTGATGAACATTGAGTCGATACCAAATTGCACTTTGTGGAGGACTAAAAATTATAGTTAAGTATCAATAAATAGACAATGTGATGACATTTGTCATGGGTTTAAATGAGTCATATAAAGCCATTACGACTCAACTATTTTTGATAAAAACTTTTCTAGTATAAATAAGGTGTGTTTAATCATTCAGTAGGAAGATAAACAAAAAAAAAATTTATTAGGCACTATAGTAAATAGAGCCTTATAATTTTATTTAGGGAGACAAAAAAAAAAGCAAAAGTACAAATCTAAACCGTGAAAAATATTACTACACTTATTGGAAAATGACTGGACATTCATTGGAATGGTGTTTTAAGGCAAACCCTAATATTCTTATGTTCAAATTGCAATATGCCTAGGTATAATGTGGAGGCTTGTTATAAGGCTGGAGGACATTCCAAAGGGTAAAAGTCTCGTGGTAAGGCTAAATAATCGGATGTCAATCCAGTGTCTTCCCTTAGATCATCTGGACAAACTAGCACAGATAAACAACCTTTTCTCACACAGTTGTAGTACACACAACTAATGATATTGCTTCAACAAGCTAGCCCTTAATAAACATGGTATAATCATCTCCTGCATCTTCATATGACCCCCTATTACTAGATTATTTGGTATGTCTCTTTACTGTAACACTCATTTAATAAAAATAAGATAAATGCTCATGTTCCTTGGATCACTGACACTGATGCATCAGATAATATTATTTTTATACCATACTTACACACTAATGTTATATTAGACACTTATTCTATAATCTTGTCAAATAGAGAAAAGGTGGATGTTTCACATATTAAAATTATTTAGATAACTGAAAAGTTTATTTTTCATGATGTATTGTGCATGCTATCATTCAATTTTAATTTGGTCTCTGCAAGAATGCTAGCCTAAATTGTTGAATGTTTTATAATATCTCACTAAAATTAGTATAATTCAAGACCTTATGACCTAAAAAACACAGAGTGGGTCAAGTTATAGATATATCATGTCAACTCAGACAACATGAAGTTACTAAAGGTCAACTTCGACAAAGATATTTAGGTGCAGTTGTCTCAAACCCCCATGAAGGTGAAAACTTTGATCTCTAGCATTATCGACTTGCACATCCATCAAGTCTAAGTCAAATCTCCCCTCATATGTCCTGAGGAGTAACATTTGTAAACCTATCTATGTTTGTTCTTTAGCTAAGATAATAGATTCTCATTTTATGCTACTGAGCGTAAAGCTAAACAATGTTTTTGATATATTTTATTATGAGTTTTGGGAACTCTATAATGAGATCTTTTATGATGGATACAAATATTTCCTTTTAATTGTAGATGATTTTAGTGGATATACATAGGTATACTTAATGAAAACAAAAGATGAAACTAGCCTTAATTTATAATAATTTTATATTCTTGTTGAGACATAATTTAACAAGAAATTCAGAATCATCCTTCGTGACAATTGAGGGAGTTTGAAATGAGAAGTTTCTACATGAAAAAGGGAATTACACATTACAAAAGTTGTAACATCCCATATACTTGATGGGGTAAAAAGGAGCCTCATAACAACTACGACTACCAATAACTAATTTAACATTGACGCGGAAATTAAAAATCCCTTACAAACATCAAAGGTTGGCTACCAAAATATTAATATACAAAATACAAGTAATTTAAATAGTTACAAAAAGAGTCATCAGAGTGTGGATAAAATAAGGCACTCATAGCCATTATAAGGATCCAATAAGGGATTCAGACAAGTTTCAAGGGGTAAATCAGCGAACGAGTTATCACTTCCGTCATTTGGGGGGGAAATAGATTAGGGGTAAGTTCCATATAAACTCAGTAAGGAAAACAATATTTGAATCACATCGCTAAGATTTTAAAAGTGAATAACCTTTAAAAAGATACATCATTTCTTAAGTAAATAACTTACCTCAAAAGTCTCCACGCGATGGACTCAGTTTTAAATACTTAGAAAAGATCGTTTATTTACTTATGAAATAAATGAACCTTCATAACATATTGGATAGTAAAGGTAGAGAAACATAAAGCCAAGTATAAACCAGCACTTCAATAGATACCAGTTGAACCAACTAAGAATGGGAAGAACCATAATATAAAATAACCATAGAGTTTCTAAAAAATTATTCACAATCATACTTGTGATTTATTAAGTATTTTACTGACTTTCATGCGAAGCCATTCTAATATATATCTACTGAGGGTAGGGGAGATCCCTAGCTACCACTATGAATGGCCA